TGATTGGTTGCAGAGCGTCCGTACGACACAAATCGGATCCAGTGTGAATCCAGCATTAGAGGCATTCGATCCAAGGCATCTCTTGGGGGATCTTATTCGGAACAAAGATAATCGGATTGTACTGACTTTTTCGCCATGAATTGGTGATTGATTCCTGATTTTTAATCATTCTTGTATCAAATTTCGTAATGATCGCGTCGCATGTATTATCGCTGACATCTGGAACGTATTAGCAGGAGCGGAACGCACATTTTCAGTGTAATTTTTCAGAGTGAATCTCGGCCGCTCATGGTCTAACATTTGCAGCCACGTTGGAAGTTCATCGCTAGAAGGCCAAGAACTCGTTTCCATCGTGAACTACAACACAAAATAAGGAGGTATCTCTTATTCCATACAGGATACTTTATATTTTATATTTTAATGCAAATGCTCTCTGTTTATATATTTGTCTTTTTTTTTCTATCGGTAACCTGTTGCTCATATACGCGCACATATTTATGAGACAATTTACTTTTGATAAATAGTGCATTGTACTCTGTCTCTCCTCCAGTGCGCATTGTTTAAATCATTTTTTTATAATTTTTATTACATGTCTATATTACAACTTAAATCATTAATTTTATATGTATATGCAGTATGTTTGGTTTAAGTGTCTTCAGTTATCTTACAAATAACAGTTGTATAAAAAGTTAGTTAAAAAGTTATAAATAAAATAAGTAAACAAATTCTCGAGAATATCAAAAAACAAAGAATAAGTAAGGACTAATGAGAGTTTTTTACGCGGTTATTAGTGCGAAAATAAAAATCGTTTATCGTCTAAATATATAGTATAAATTAGTTATGCATAAACGTTTCGGCCTGCTTCCGAGCCATCTCATTTGAACGTTGACCGTCACAATATTTGTTTTGCTAAACATGAATAATTTGCGGATCTTTTTGTCTCTCGATGTAAGTGATTTTTGACATTCAAGTCTTTCATGGCTATATGGATTTTTATCTGTTATTCGTTGCCACTGGAATGGTCAACCATTGCCAATTGAATAAGAGGATTGAGTTACTACTCTACCGTCTTGCCATGAAGAAGTGAGAATTTACATTATACGTTCAGACATACTGATGATAGCTTGGAAGCAGGCCGAAACGTTTATGCATAACTAATTTATACTACATATTTGGACAATAAATGATTTTTATTTTCGCACCAATAACCGCGTAAAAAACTTTCATTAGCCCTTATTTATTCTTTGTTTTTTAAAAAGTTATTTTGTATGAAATGATCTATATGATGACTTAAGTAAAACTTAAAAATTTTATTTAATATTTTTAGAACAATTTTATTTTTTCATTTTAATGGAATATCTATTTTAATGGAAGGATTAAAATTTATTTTATTATCTTTTGTTATACAATATTGTAAAATCAGCTTGCTACTTAGGCAATGATTCCAACCATACAAAACTTTGTGACCAAACTTTTCTCACTCTATGAATTTAAAGTCTCCTCTATTTTAGTATACTAAAGTTATTTGAGATGTTATTAAAGATATTACTAAAGTTATTTAAGTTATAAATATATATAGAAAATAATTTATATCTTATTCTTTAAATGACTTCTTTTTGTTATAGGAATCTATGAGAAGAAAAGCACAATTAGATGTACAATTCTCATGAAAAGATTGCACAGTAATCCTTTTGTGAAATAGTTACTCTTACATAAGCGTGTATATATACATTTTTATGTATGTATTCTTGTGTATGTATGACATAAGCATATTACATATACAATAACAAAAATTAAAAATTGTGCTTAACTGTGCTATGTTTATAAAGATAAATGAAATGTATGGCAATCGTAAAAACAGAGGTTTGAACTCATTAGACGGCATGTTATATTGGACATCATCGAGTGAAGAGATCCATTCACGTAAATTTAAATTGCCCGAAGCATCGACTAAACATTATCCAAGAAAAAATAGATATCGATTTCAACACACAATAGCTAGATCATTGCTTGTTGATACTTATACAGGTACTTGGAATTCGCCAAATGCAAGTTCGGACTGTTGTTGTACGTCATACAAGTCATTTCGAACGTTATCTAGGTCAAGTAAAATAATGAATGCACTCAGTTCCGCTCATAGTTCCTTTCGTCAAGACACTGTAGGAATAAGGAAATCATTGAACTTTGACTCGAGTCCAAGTCCAAAGGGGAACAGTAGTTATGACGAGAATTCTACCAGTTCGATCAGCACTGATGCATCGTCATTCGTATTAAATTTAAGTTCAGTTGATTCAACTGACAGTAATGTCCCGATGACATCTGGGGAATCTATCGACGAAAATCAGAATCAAACTCCTCAACAAAATCGGAAATCGATCTATAAAACTGATATAAGAGATAATATGCGATCAAGAACGATTTATTTAATGTCGTTGATCAAGGAACAAAAGGAGGCAACCAACAAAAATGCCACTCAAGGATCTTCACGTCCTTTTTGCTCATTCAACTCACTCATTGAATCAAAATTATCCAGCCGTATTATAACTGCGAGTACACCCAGGAATCTATCTCAGGAATTTAATCAAGAACTAGACGATAGATCACATACACCTGAAAATATGATAAATGTACTTCCAGAAAGTATAAGTTCTATTAAGAAGAGCCACAAAAAGGTATATATAATTATATTTCATTATTGATTTATCTTTACTGTCTTATTTTTAAACTAATTCTTACACAAATCTTTATATATTATAATTCTACACGCGTTTAGCTATCATTTTATTAAAATTAATTTTATATGTATACACATAAACATATGTATATTCATAATATAAACAGGAACATAGAAATATAGATAAAAACAAATATTTTTCTTTTTTCTCAAAATTAATTACAATTTTGGAAGAAACTATATATTTACTTTTCATTAATTTTATAATTGATATACTAACATTTCTGTTTTAACAGGAAAAATTATATTCTCATGAAGAACAATCATCTATTCAGCAAATGGATGTTTCTATAAAAAATGATAATTTACATTCAAGAACAGCTATGGAATCTCCGGGAATAGATATGATTGCTACAAGTAGTTGCTATATTGTTTCTGAAAATGAATCTCATAAGAAAAACAGGAATATTAAGAGAACACTTATTTACAATGACGAACATTGCGACACTAAATCAGATTCTGATCACAATCTGCAGCAGAAAACCGCATCGACAATAAATGATTCGTTGGAAAGTGAATTGGATCAAATAGAAAGTGATAAAATGCAAGATATTGATTCCATCGATGAGAGTTGTGAAGAAGATATGCAAGTTAATGTATGTCCTGTAGATCACAATAATGAAGAAAAAGATTGTTCCAACGAAAACGTTTGCAATGAAGAAATAAGTCAGTTATTGTTGCAAAACGAATCGTCAAGTATTTGTAATGTTAATGTGACCAGTGAGAATAGAATAGCGTCTCCAGAATCTAGTTCAAATATTTCTCAAAATGCTAACGTAGTAGTTACACCCGAAAACAACGTAAATATGTTAAAGCACGTATTGACCGAATCGATTAAGAAATCGCACAAGAAGATGAAACATGGAAATAGAAAGATGTTGTTTAAAACCCCCATCAAAGATCCTCATCAAAAAATAGGATTAACAAAATCTGAAATCACACTCGAGGGTGTTTGCAATATTGATCAAGATATTGAAAGTCAGACACCTGATGCGATTCATGTCTCAAGCCCACAGAATTCCGAGCTTGATCGACCAAATACACCCGAAAATATAAATTCAAGTAGACTCTTATTGCTTGGCTTTCATTCAGTTAAAAAGTCACATAAGAAAGACAAACGTAACAAAAGAACTTCCAATTTTATTGAATGCCATGGTTACGAATATAAAGAAGGTAATTCATTACGACATAAATATAGAGAGGAAATTTGCAGAACCTTACGTAAGAATAAATCTCCTGACATATCACCTACAGAGAAGTCAGTAAGCACTTTTTTGCAAAGTAGTACACCCAAATTTCCAAGTGCTTTCTTGTCTTTAGGATTTAAAGATATAAACGATGAATTTAAGATTTTTACTCCCATTAAAAAACGACGAATTCCAGTTGATGTTACAAATTATGTTTCTGCTGCCGGTATGTCACAAGAAGACGATGAATCTGCACAAGCAACATCGAAGGAAATTGATTGTTCCAGATGCGTGACGCCAGTAGCACATTGTTCCAAATTGAGAAAACATGATCTTACATCGGAACGCGATAACGCCAAAAAATCTGAGACTGATATAAACGTTTTGAAAGTGACGGATACTACAAATCCAAAAGATAAGAATGGTAGATCAACTCCAATAAATATGTCGACGACGGAGTTGCTTTGTAACATAGACTCGATTAAAAAATCACATAAGAAAGATAAGCATAACCGTAGCAAGGAGCTGATTTTAAAGAAAAAACGGTCATATGTCGAAAAGAGTGAGCATGTCAACTTTGGAAATAATGATAAGATGTTGGAAGAACCTACCTGTTGGTCTTTGAAGCATCATTTCGACAAAAATTGTGCTGAAAAAGAGATGTGTAATGTTATGTGCGAAAAGGAGAAAAACAAAAGTTATAAAGCGATTGTTTATGACGATCCCGATGATCCTCAACCGTCTACAAGTCGAGGAGCAGACAATATGGAAAATACAAAAAATACCATAAAATCCAAATTTCTGGATACAACACCTCCAAATAGCTTAAGCGCAATGAAATTAATGAAATTAGTGCAAACGACTTCCATTAAAAAGTCTCATAAAAAAGAACGCGACATTAACGCACAAACCAAGTACATTTTGATGAGCCAGGAACATGAGTTATCTGATGATGGATCGATATTCGACGAAGAGGAAAGATTGGATTTTATTCAAAATGACAGTATCGCCCAAGATGACATATAATAACATACAATAGATAAATTAAAATAAGGTCTATTAGATGATGTTATTGCGATAAGAAAATAAACATAATACACAAGATGCCTTAGTAACAGATATAATATGTAACAAGAATTTTTTTCTAACGGAGGAAATTTTTTAATTAATTTTTGATAAATTTTTCAATTATCAGCATTGTATGTGTGTCTTTCACGTAAATTCCAAGTTAGAAATTAAAATTGAGGATTATATCTTTGCTTTCTTTGCATAGTTTAATTCGTGAAACACTTATTTTTAACGCAGAGATTACTGGAATCTTGTTGAGATAGGAGATAGGGTGGTTTAAATAAAAAAAACAAACACTAATATTAATAAATATTATGATTGAAATTGTGATCATGTTCATGTTCTTTGTATACTCTGCTTATTTTAGAAGACTAACTAAACAAAAGACAATTATAAATGGTAGCTGATTATTTTAAAATTCTGTTCAGCTAAAGCTAAATTAATTGAATGAACAAACAAATAAAACGTTTGTAAGATGTTAAATGAATTTGAAAAGACTATTGGTTTTTGTGCCTTTAACAAAGGATTAAAGTTATATCGCAAGATTTTGTAGTATGGATATAATTACAAACAGTGCGATTATCTAATAATTTTAAGATAGTAGTTTAAGAGACAATAATATCTTTCAAAGGTATGTTCAAACTTATCGCGTAAATATTTCACGACTGATACTAACAGTATTCGAAACACGTACATGGAATAATATTTTCTATAATTCTTGTGAAAATTAACAATATTAAATATCAATTTAATGTTTTCCAAGTTAATTAAATTCTTGATTATATTGTTTTTAGCATATTTTTACGTATATAAATCTGTTGCGGCATGATTATAATATTAATTCTTGTATATTTTATACCGCAATTTTGTTACGTTTTCGTATATAATTTATATCAAATAATAGCTGTATATCTCAATATACTCTGTCAGTTGAAAATCTATAGTATACATAATGTGAATTATGAATTAGATTTTCAGCACTTGACAGAGTAAATCAGAAAACGGTCAAAATATATATAAATAATTTAGGAAAAATTGCAATAAAAAAAAGTAATATTATCGATATCTACCTTTACTGGATTTTATATCATTGATTTGTAATATTGATCGATATCGATTGAAATAACTGAAGTAAGTTTACTTTATGTATATTAGTTTACTTTAAGGACTCTTTAAGGGTGTCATTTCGTTTGTGTGCTTTTGTTTTAAGACAAATTTTTCAAGCCTAATGTCCCACATATTTGTTGTACGACAAACGCACAAATAAAATAACACTAATTTAATCGCGTTATGAAAAATACAAGTACACTGAACACAATATTACTACGCTCAGATATACTTGCGTGGAAAAGGCATTTGCGTTTCAGTGTGTACTATTTAGGTATTATGAATTAAGTTATTTTTTTTAATACAAACGCAATTAGTGAATAAGTAAATCCCTATGTAATTACTTTTTTTTGTAATATTATATTAAAAAATTAAAAGCGTATTTTCTATCTATGATTTATGTGTATAGATATGGTCTTTCTTTCTTTCTAGAAAGTTGTTATAAAGAACTATGTGATGTGTATCTTCTTTCAATTAAGTGATATATAATATGTATAAAGAATTGAATATCTCTGGAATAGATAATTCGAAAAGCCCATATTATCGCTTTTCCTATCTGGTGTAAAATCTTAAAAATTGATAATGTATTTGTTTTTTTTCTTTTTTTACTATCTTTTTTTACTTTTTTTTCTTTTTACTATCTTTCTGAAAGGATCTAGATTGAATTCACCCGAGTATCTTCAACAATTTTAGGAACTTTCCAGCAAGAGACAAATTGACACAGAGTCATTCTGTTCTTCGATAATCAGCAATAAACAGAACAATTACTCTTGTGTCGATTTGTGCCTCTGCTAGAAAGCTCCCTTTATTGGATATTGATCGGTCATTTTGGATCATCTGCCTTCTTGAATTACTGTGGAAAAAAGACTGGTCACAATAATATTTTCTTAAGAATAAGTATATGGGATTAGCGATGTTCGAGATTAAAGATAAATTATTGCTTCTGCATGGAGCAATATATCTAATAATTTGTCTAATAGTTTAGTTCAATTAAAGAAATACAAGCATGATTTAATTATATTTAATCTTTGCAATAAAGCTCGATGAACATCTGTTTTGATTTCAACGTGCAATTAGTATATACTATATACCAAAGGCATAGATAGAGAATAAACTGCGCGATCCGTGTGTCAAAATGGTCGATAGGGATGAGAGAGAGGGACCATGGCAGACAGCCATTTCTATCTCTTTCCATTCAATGGTGTAATAGGAGAATGAGAGGGCGATTGGCCGTCTCCCACGGTCCCTCTCTTTTATTATTGTCGACCACATTTAACACACTACTTAGATACGGATCGCGCAGTCTATTCTCTATGACTTTGGTATATATCTGGGGGTCGATTCTGTATCTTCAATCAAGGTGAAAATTACAAAAGTAGGCAAATTTACTAGGTGTTGACCAATGAAATTATCAGTATTCTAGTAAATTCGCTCACTTTTGTAATTTTCACCTCGTTTCAAGATACAGAATCGATCCT